TTCGTTCGTTCTTGCTTTTCAGAGAGAGGTGCTTTAAAATTTCTCACTAAATATTACGAGAGGGCGATGTGCTTATTTGTCCCTGCATTTTTCTCAATTTCATAGCCTTTTTTATTTGTTTGTTTTGTTAGCCAGGGATTTAACTTGCTATCCATAAGGGAGGTGTTATTACAGGCCTCAGTCATTGCTCGCTCCTTCTGGCCAAGAACAATGTATTTTCTTTGTCAGTTTAGCCTCATTTGCTCTAAATGTGTGACACATCGGTGATATTCTCTGTTGTACAACATGGTCAGAACACTTTAGGGCCATTAATGATGCTTACACATCAAGTGTAGTGTTTATGCTCCATCTCGCTGAACAGACAGCCAATCAGTGGCTCTAAATTAGATTTACTTTCATTTCTGAATTTCCCTCAGGGCCGTATGATTCTGTTATCCAACAAACACAACTGCAACTCGGTCCTCTCACAGAGTAGCACAAATATTAGAGTCAGACTGCCTTTGGACATGTGAACGGACGAGGCAACCGCACAGAAATATGAAATGTGGGAAAATATCAGAGTGATCGAAAAACACAACACAACATTAAATATGCGAAACTGTTGCAATTTCTTTGTTTATGCGTGCATTAATCGCCTCCATTTATGCACCATTTGCATTAGCTGGGTTGTACCGAGCAGCTATAACTACGCACTGTCCACCTCTGATGTTAAGCTGTATAATCAAGACACATTCTTGTAAATGGTGAAGCTTTCCCCGATGGGTTTATTTAGTGTGTTTGATGTCCCTCCAGCTGCAATTTACAGTTGTGTTGGAGCCAACGCCATAAATCCCGTAATCAATTTGATGATGGTATGATTGCTGTACACATAGGAGGAGGCAGTAATGTCAGGCTCTCAGGTTCATGAGACTCCTGGGCTTCATATTTTCTCTCTATTCTCATCCTATTAGAGATTCTGACCCTCCCCCTCCATCCCCCACTTTCTGCTAGCCTCTCTGCCACCACCACCACCACCACCACCCCCTCCCCCTGCCCCCCCCCCTCACACCAACACACACACACTTCTTCGTAGACACACATATAAACACACACGCATGCACTCACTGCACTCTTATTCACTCTCTCTTTCCATCTCTCACACGTTTACATGCATACACGTAGCTCACAGACTGGAGTGTGTGTGTGTGTGTGTGTGTGTGTGTGTGTGTGTATGTGTGTGTATGTGTATGGGGGGGGTTACTGGGCTAGTAGAGACGTGAGGCTTGAAAAACGTGAGAGGAAAAGAGGGAGATGGAGGGTTGACGACTAGAGAGTGTAAAAGAGAGATAGAGAAAGGAAGAGGAGAGTCTTTGAGGTACAATGAAAGCAAAGAGAGACGACTGGAGACCATGAATGCAGCACAGAGGGTAAACGAGTTTGTGTGTGTGTCTAAATGTGTTTGTGTGTGAGTGTGTATGTGTGTGTGTGTGTGTGTGTGTGTGTGTGTGTGTGTGTGTGTGTGTGTGTCGTCTGTCATCCGTGGTGTGTAAGCAGGCATGTGAACGCACAAGTAAGCAAGCTTTTTCTCTCTTCTTCATTTTTCTGTCATTTGCAGCTCTGTGCGTTTGTGACGGCAGCCCTGCGGAGACAAAAGGTGAGGAGCTGTATAGATGTCGGTGTTAGTCAGGTAGAGAGCAGAATAATGGAATCAATACTATTGTCTGTAACCTACCTGCCGCTGGGCTCTCTGTCTGGCCCCGGCATAGACCATCAGAGGGAGAGAGAGAGAGAGAGCTGAGAGGAAGCACAGATTCACTCTGGCCGGGAAAGAAAGAAAAGAAGACGCTGACTTTAAGGTGACTGTCTCTTTTCTTTTTCTTTTCTTTTTTTTTTTTTTAACAATTTCTCTCACAAGGTGAATGTAGATTAAGGATTGTATGTTCATTTTTTTATGCAGAGATGATATGCATTTTTATCTGAAACTTTTTCATCAATAATTCCTCTCTTCTAGCTGTATGTATTTGCTGTATAAATGTGACATTCTGTATGTGTTCGCACACGCTGAAAAGCCTTTCAATTAGCGTCTAGGCTGTGTGTTGTCGACAGGTCATGTCTACGCTTCATGTTTGATTTGCGGCTTGTTTTAATTCTCACTTTTCTTTCACACCTCATATGTAAATCTCAGATAAATATTTGCCTCATTATAATTACCTGTTTTTACATCAGGAAGCTGAATTAGTGAAATCAGCAGCTGTCAAGGAATGGCAGTGTTGTACAATATGCATTTACTCCTGCTGCAATTATCATCAGTGTGTTCTACACAGAAATTTCCATTGCTGTTGTGCTGTGTGATTTGTGCTATGATTAATCCTTTACTGATGCTGACATGAATGGAAGTATTTTAAAGTAAAGCAACGTCACTGCAGACAAATCCATAATTCATTTGTAGGTGAAGTTATGGCAAATATGTGCTATTCTCTCTCAGCTGCCACGTCTGTCACATGCGACATTAACTGAGACGATCTGAAAATCACACCTCTCTTTTTCCAAATTCGTAAGGCCTGCAGCTCATGAAGTCAACCTGTAGGTATACGACTTAATATGCATTAATGCAGTTCAATTTGATGCAGGATGTGACGCAGGCGTTTCGCACCTTTATTCACATTCCCACCGAGGTGTTTTACATGATGAAAACATGTTGCTCCCCCTGACAGATGAGTCACAAAATGTGCTAATTTCCTTTCTCTACAACACATGAACATATTCAGTCTCCCTGAGTCAGTATGTGTCGTTCTGTCTGTCTACCAGTGGGTGGCATCCTCTTGTAATATTTCTACGCAATGAATTTTCTTTCTTTCATCAACAAAAATATACAGGAAGTTTTACACTTTACACTAAAGTGGCATCATATAATTTCATTTACAGGTGGATGGATGCCTTAAACGCCGTCCTTGTCCTGCTCTTCGTGACCCATTGAAACCTAATTTCATCTTCACTGGTAAGCCAGAATGCAGATTCTCTCTTTGCTCCTAATATTGAACTGATATATGATTGTACTGCATGAAGATAATGTCAACCCAGTAAGACCTGCAACTTAGAATGTCTCTGATTGGATACATGTGAACTATAAATGCCTGTAAATTCATGTAAACAGTAACTCCATGTATTTTTTCTTTTCCAGAGAGTTGTGGAGTATTAAACAATCGTACCTCAGAAATGATCAACAACTAAAGATAAATGTGCCTTTCTAATGATGCGTATGTTATATTTATATTGTTATAAAGGGTTAAGGTTAGAGTAGTTATTAAGAATTAAAAATAAATGTCCCTTTTTTGTCATCTAAGTTATGTTGTCGGTTATTATTGCTGCTACTATGTTTCTTATATATGTATATGTATGAACTTGATTTTTAAATCCCTTTTCACTCACTGAGCCTGAAAAGCTATGATACTCTGTAATTTGTCAGTGCTAGCTCAATAAATCATGTTCGAAATGCCCATGACATTTAACAAAAGTTGAATCAATTGTTTCTCCTAAATTAATAGCATTTCCTCCACAATTTGCTCAACTGCTGCACCGCTGAGATTATTTGTGCCTGCTGTGAAAAATATTACCTTGCTTCTGACGGTTACTCTGCAAGACAAAAGAAGAGTGTGGGTAAAACGTAGACAAGTGTGTCGAATATGATTATGTTTTAATTGAACTGATCAGTTTTGCCTCAGATCCGCAGCAAACCAGGAGACCCGTTGGTGCCGCAGAATCCAAATGTCAGATGAGGTCATGTCTTTGTCGCGGTGCTGCGACTCTTTTTTTTAAAATGCGTTTCATCTCAGCGTTGTTGGAGGTTTTTTTGTACATTAACTTGCTCTGTATATAAACCCTCCCTGTGTATTTTAATTTCACAGTATGCCCCTCTGTCCCTGAGACCCTTAACCTGTGAGGTCAAAGCAGGTCACAGGTGAGGTCCTCGGGAACAGGGCTGCATTCAGTTTCAACGTCCTATAAAAAAAGAAGCATTTTTAAAAGTATCGTCACACAATAAATGTCTGTTTCAGTGTTTGATATATCTGTTAATATTCTCACCATTCTTTTAAACTTAAGAAAACCTTCTAATTATACTATGTCACATTTTCTCGGCTGTAATGTATGCTAGTATGCAGCTGTGTCTGTATGTTTCAGTGTGTTGTATGTGTATGTCATGATCAAGACTTGTCAGGTTGACCAAGAAGACGATGACCCCTCCTCCTGCAGCACAGACACTCTCAGGGGGCCAACCCTATTGGCTGGCTTTGTGTCATAGTCCTCAGTGTGGGCCAATAGGAAGACAGCCAAGGGTTGTGACCCCGTCATATAAGTCACCTTCAAAAATCAGTGGAGTTGTTATTTGCATATGTCGTGCATGTTTCTGTATATTGTCTTGAAAAAGTTGCTCTGTTTTGTATCTCTGTATCTCAATAAAATGTGGCAAAAAAAAGTTCTAATGTGTGAATTTATGGAAAAAACATGTCTCTCTGTCTGACACCCAAAATAACACCATGGGTGTTAAATTGCAATCTCCCACTTTAATTTTGCATGAAGCACCAGCTCTTTAATATAAATTGTAATTGATAACATCTTTAGATTATTCCCATTTCTTTTCCTGAATGAAAAACAGTGTGTCATCATTCACATAAATAAAAAGCGTCCTTTCTTTACAACTAGAGATTTTATAAAGCCGTGAATGAGCAGATTTTATGCTCTGGACCTGCATGAAAAGATTTTATCAAAGTGCCCTTGTCGCCACACACATGCTGTATACAAACAGACACAATGAAATGCATCCACAAACACACACACAAACATATTTGGGATTTTCCGTCCGACCATCTGACTAGCTATCTGACTTTGGCAGTCCTGGAGCAGACTCTTGCCTAATATTGATTGGCTTGTCTGTGCGGAGACAGATGAATGCATTAGTACCCAGCTCACCCTGCCACTGGAAATATATTAAGTTCATGTATTAGGCACCCTGTCTGGTTGCCATGGAGATGCACCGGGAGTGAGGGACCGGGGGGTGGGGAGGATGGGAGACGAGTGGGGGATACAGGATGTGATGAGGCAGTCGACTTGATTTGTAGTCCCGCTCCTTCTTCCTCTTCCCCTGCCTCTGTCACTTGTGTGTCCTCTCTTTATCTCTTGCACCTTTCTTTCTCTTCTCAGTGTTTCTTCTCGCTTCATTGTCTCTTTTCCCCTAAAATTCTTTCTCCACTACTTTTCAAATTTTCTAAACTCCACCAGGAAGAATGAGCACTTTCTCTGTCTCGCTGCTAACTATTCTATTGATTTTGTCATCCCTTTTGTTTCTTTTTTTTTTCTCTACTTGGCTTTCATTCTCCATCTCGCCGTCCCTACACCACCAGTTGTTTGATTTCTCTTGGGTTTTTCTTGCCGACACGTTTTCCACTTTATCCCTCCACGTACATAAGCATTTAACTCCCTCTTCATCTGCCTCCACCCCCCACCCCCCACCCCCCTACCGCCGCCGCCTCCCTCCTTGGCTCGCTCCATCTCTGTGCTCTGCAGTAAAACTGGTGCATTGAGGCAGCAGGAAATGGGGACTAGAGACAATAGAATGGAGGGAAGTATAGAGGGGAGTCTGTGTTGCTCTCCTCTCAAACCCAAGTCTGTTGAGAAAAACATGAGGAGAATACTTTCATAATCTTACTTTTAATTACATGTGGCATATGCATATAAAATTCATATTCAAGGCTTTATTTTTCGAGCTTCTCCTGGAACATAAAACCTTGGAACTTCTACATTTGCGGTCACTGTGAGACCAGGATTTGAATAAAAACAATTTACACAGAAACCTTTTTTGAGTTGGATGCTCATATTGGAAAATGTGCACATCTGCTCTGTGGCTCATGTGTTTTAGCTTGCTGTTCAGCACCTCTCTAAGCTGCTATCAATGCTTTGTTGGTGTGCCAGACAGTCTTCGTCTGTGTTGGGGTCACATTTTGACTGAACACAATATTAGAAATGTGGACGCCTGCTTCAGGAAGCTGGACCGTATATTCAACAACAATGAGAGAGTGACTGACGCTGGCAGAGTGGGTGAGGAAAATGTCCAGTTACATACAGTGGGGGGAAGTTGGTTTATACCTGTGTGATATGTGTCCCTCTTCCAGGTAAAGGTTATGACAAACAGCTGAAGGAACTTCTGGATGCAGAGATCCAGCCCATGGTAGAAGAATTCGACAACAAACGGATTAATGGTAACTAAACACCTGCTCTGACAGACACATAACTGCATGAGTAAATCAGTCCTTGGAGCGTCAGAATTGATAAGTAAGGTCAGAAATGGAAGGGAGTTAGAAATGAGAGATTTCAAAATGATGCCCTAAAGCACACTATTCACCAGGATGTGTTGAGCCAAATATTTCTGTCTTCCTCCTCCTCCTCCTCCTCCTCCTCCTCCTCCTCCTCCTGCTCTTCCTTTCCATCTATCAGACACAGTGTATGAGGAAAGGTTGCAGACAGCAGCAGACAATTTCATCGCAGCTGCCTCCAAACTGCCTAGAGGTGAGACATGGTCTCTTCCCCTTTCCTTCATCTTTTCATCTATAGTAAGGCCTATATTAGGTCATTACAGCTCCATCTGATCTCTGTACTCTCTCTGTAATAAGATAGTTACAGCCTTTCAAAAACTGTGGAGATTACAGGAAGCAGTTGGGTTGAACTGACTCATGGATGTTGGTGTTAAATCAAGTCATCTGATCAAAATAAAATTTGGTAATCTGAGTTAACTGTCTTTTGTATTTTTCACAGTCTCTGGATGTTTCCCTCCATGTGGTTAGTGCTTTTATTCTTTTTTTGTCTTTTCAGTATCATAAATTTTGCCGTTAGATGCATGATATCTTAATCCATGTATCATCTTATTAGTTCAATGCCTCCATCAGGTTTTCAGAGTGCAGGTGCAGTATACAACTGTATTACCTGCCAATATGACTCCTGTGAATTCCCTCTCGACTGTCCAAGTGAGTATTAATAATAATCCATCCAACATATTGGATTACTGATACTCTTACATCACAATTTTCAAGTAGGAAAAAAAGGTGTACTAATCCAGACTTGACACATCCTTACATAACTATATTTTCACCTTCATAAGCATCCACTCTTGATCCCTGAAATGCTCCTCTTTTGATCCTTGAAATGCTCTTAGCAGAAAGTCAGGATTTGAAAAAGAGACTGAGGCAAGGTTTTATTTCCACACATTATATCTTTTGCACAGAGCCCCCAAGGTACTCTTTAAGTCCTTGGCTTCTTTATGCAAGGTGACAGTTGACTCCCACACACGACGGTATTCGTATCAACCCTGTACAGCACAGCCACTGTTTAGCATATCATCACTTTTACTCCACTCCTCAGAGACTGGGCTTAAGTATTATCATTAAGGAGGGCTCAGACTGAAAGAGCTGCCCCCCTGTGAATGTTATCTGTACGTGTGTGCCTGTGTGTGTTACTGCCTGTGTGGGTGGCTATATGTTTATTTCAGTTAAAGAAATTAAAGTAATGGAGAACAGCAGGAGCCGAATGTGGTGCGATGTGCCATTTCACCTGCCAAACGACATCGAGGTAATCTGGAGGTTCACAGAAGAGGTATGCTCGGCATATGTTGAACCATTGAGGGTCACTGCAGTACCTTTAAAGGAATAGCTCAATATTTTGGGGAAAAAGGGATATTGACTTTCTTGCCGAGAGTTAGCGGAGAAGATCGATACCAGACCAGATCAATACCGATTTACCAGACAAATATGAGATATTTGTCTGGTAAATAAGGAAGCTGGAGCCACAAGTCGATTATTGGCTGGACCGCAACAACAATGGGACCAGCCCTATAATTGCGAATGTCCGTCACTGACTGACTGACTGACTGACTAACTGAGTTGAGTGATATTTCCGCCATTGGTCAGCCGAATGCCACGTGACTGAGTTAGAGTTTCCCCATTGGCTTATGCTAAGCTAAGCTAACCAGCTGCTGACTGTAGCTTTATATTTACCAGTGGTAAATATATAGGTAGCATTTCTCTTATCTAGCTGTCGGCAAGAAAGCTGATTCCAAAATGTAAAACTATTCTTCTAACACTGCATAGTTTTTTTTTTGGTCATATTAAATTTGTCATTGCACACATTAGAATAAGTGATCCCTGTGTTCAGTACATGTAAGCGGAAAGTATTCATTCCCTACAGGTGAAAACCCAGCAGGTGGATCAGTTTAAAGAAGTGACTGCAGGGGTGGACAGGCTCTATTCTATCCCTTCAACCAGCTTGCAGCATCAGGGCACCTACCTGTGTGAGATCTACTCAGGCCAGCGCTCTATTGTGAGACTATACTACTATATCACAGGTAACAAGATACACCACTTTTGGGAAAAAGAATTGGACATTGTGATTGCTGTTGATCAATGGGAGAATATTTGTACTGGGACATAAAACAACTCCTTCAAACATAAGGAGAAAATATACTTAGAAGGTTCAGATATAGCAATTAAGTACCTGAAGTAAATATATTAAATAGGGTTTGTCTTTGTCATTTAAGTGTTTGAAGGAATGTGGAAAAATTAATGTTAAAATCATTTTGGGTACAGATTTAAGTTTTTAAAAAAAAATCTCATTAGATGTAATGTTTTCTGAGGTAACAGATAAAGATGTTTATTTTATGAATATTGAGGATAAAAAGTAATAAGAAGACACTGGAGGCAAAAGGGGAGCCCAACCATAGAAGAAAATGGAAACAGCAAATTAAAGACATGGAGAAAAACGCTCATATAAAATCTATAAAATACTGATTGTATTGAAACAAATTGGGCTAATTAGTTTCACTAGTAAAACCATAGAGAATTAAATTAATCTGTACACATATATATGACATATATATAGATTTATCCATATGCATGTATGTGTGTATATAGGTATATATAAGTACTCATGTATTTTTGTATTAGGTTTAATGTAAATGCCTACTGGACTTAAACATTTTTGGATATAAATGTCCTTTTCTTTTGGGTTCCTTATTCGTTTCTATTTCTACCATCATCTATTTACTTTATATGAGTCCCTGTATTCCTTCTCTTCATCTCTCTCTCTAAGTGACCCCCCAGGTTGTGGCAGGCCACACAGAGCTGCAGGAGATATTCGACCTGTCTCTGCTCCCAGGAGGGCGGTTACTCCCTGCGCCTGGTGGTCCTCCCAGCTTCCCCCTCCTCCCTTCACCACTGCTTCTCACAGCCTGTTTAACTGCTTCACTGCTGCTGCTACTCCTCTCCCTAGGGTAAAACAAAACTATTATTTGCACAATATGAAATATAAACAGCATAGAAACTTAAACTTAAGATGCCCTTTGCCAGGTTATATTTATATAGGGTATATATTTGTGTGTGTGTAGCTATAGATTTATATGTGCATACATACATATATACATACACAAACATATATATAGAGAGAGAGATTGTATATGTAAATATATACATATATTAGTTGCTCTTTCCCACTTTCTCTTTGGTTGTTTCAGGGTTCTGTATTGGTCATTAATACCAGAGCACCCAAGTCTCTCGGAACCAGCAGATGGAGATGAAGATTTAGGATTTTGAGAGTCAGAAAGCCACATGTAGTGCAATAAAGGTATTTCAACAAGCCTCTGGTCTTCGAGAGAGTGTTACGTCATAGTTTACAGAAAACCTGTGTGTGACTCCTTCCACCACTAGAGGGCAGGATGTACATTTTTATCAGTGGTGCTTGGTCTACACTTTGCTGCATGTGCAGTGACAACCACATTTATTCTCTCTCTAATTTGTCAGTTGAAAGTAGCACTACCAGTTCACTGACTCACTTACTGTACGAACCGTAAGTGAATTTTGCACAAATTCCAAAGAACTACAAAATTTACAAGGGAAATATTTTACTTTTTATTCCACTAATTGTATCCTACAGTTGTAGTAAGTTTTATATACAAAAGCATATGACAAGCTCATAAAATATGATGCATAAATGCAGACTGAATAGCCAATAGTAATAAGTATTTAAAACAAGCTCCACTTCAGCCAGCTACAACAAAAGTATCCTGCATTAAAATGCTGTTTGGTCATAAGGAATCATAAGCCACTAATATAATATGTAGATAATTGTTACTCTCGAAAAATGACCCCTCAGCAAAATGAATACTTTAAGCACATTTTGTTGATAACACTCTTGTATTTTTACCAACGTAACTTTTTAATGCAGGACCTTCACTTGCAATAGATAATTTTTGCAACGCGTTATAATGATGCTACTTTTACTTAGGTAAAGAATCTTAATACTTTGTCCATAAATAAGATTAGTGATGATGCAGTTATATTAGATGCTTTGAGGCTCTTGTATGGGTAAAGGGTAACGAAAATATGGAAAGAACAGCTAAGATGGCTTTGTATTCAGACAGACGGACGCTGATGTGCATATTGCCAGTAAGAGATGCAGAAGCATCGTCATGTCCAATTTCATCCAACAACCAGTATTAGAAGGATTGGGACAGAGTGAATGGGAATCAAGCCTTTGGTCAGGACAGGAAGCAGAGCTGTGATGAAAAGGGAGGTATCATGGTATCGACAGTTGTATTGATAAGTAAAAAACTAGAAATTATAGTGGTGAATTAGTGAGCACCATAGTCAAATTGGCAAGAATAAAAGAAAAGAAAACTTCCATTATTCCACTTGACTGTGTGAAAGGATACACTTACACACTCAATCCTTTAGGTGACCACTAGGAGGCAGCAACACACACATATACACACACACACACACACACACACACACACACACACACACACACACACACACACACACACTTCTCCTCCAGATATCACACGAAGATGTCATCCCAGACATATTACAACATATCCATCTTGAATCTTCATTGAACTTTAATGTTATATTTACATTGTGTCGCATGTGGTCCAGAGAATATTTGGTTGCTAAAACGACAAAGACACCATCTCCCAAAACAAATCTGAATCACATATGAGGATGGGGAAGTGCTACAATTGCAAAATGTATTATTCCTAAAATGTGACACTGTAGTCATACTGTATATTTGCTGATAAGTATACATTGCTAAAGTGGTCAAAGCTGAATGCCTCACCCTCTGATGTCAGAGTTTGCCATTGTGGACTGGTTAAGAGTGAGTGACAGAAGTTATTACGTAAAAAATTCCACTTATCCTGTTGCACCCTGGTCATTATAACCTGAAAACACCACTCAGGGTGGAAAAAATTGCAGAAATCACTGGTGTGTACCTCTGACCTTTCATGAGGATTTTTTACATACTTTGCCTGTCCTTTGAAACAGCGGTGGCAGGTAACAACTTTTTGCTTCGGGTCAATATGAATTTAACTCAAACACTCCAATCTTTCTGTCACACTGAGACACACAAACACAAAAGATCACATGATCCCATGGGCACACACTCCTATGCAGAATAGTTAGCAGCGAGACAGAGAAAGTGCTCATTCTTCCTGGTGGAGTTTAGAAAATTTGAAAAGTAGTGGAGAAAGAATTTTAGGGGAAAAGAGACAATGAAGCGAGAAGAAACACTGAGAAGAGAAAGAAAGGTGCAAGAGATAAAGTAGGACAGATGTCAGTGAAAGGTCAATACACTGTGCAGAAAAACAAAAATGTACATTTCTTTTTTCCCTCTATCATTCGGAAGAATTAATGAATTAAATTTTTATGTTATTGTCACAAATCATTTGTGTAGTTGCCATTTTCCAACATTTTCCATTTTCATTTTTGCTTATATGCTGAGCACCTGCACTCATATGAATTTTTTACATGCCACCACTATGGTTGCTATGGATGGAGAGACCTGGATGCCAGATAGAAACAAACTAACGTCTTTAAAAAATAAGAGCCACCTTAATCAAGAACACTGTGGTATACCAGACAATCATTGGCCTGTGGATAACGAAATGTTGCTGGAACATTTTCTGAGACATATACTGTATGTTCAGTATATATGCTTAATATAGCTCCTCACTCTGGACCAGTTCTCTAGCCAGTTCAGTCTGAAATTGCATTCAGCCACTAGACATCAGTGATATATATGTGACATTTTATTCTTGTCCTTGCATTTTTTGCTTTGTATTTTTTTTTATCAACTTTTGTCTCTTCTTTTTGTGTTTGCACCCCATGCCATGGTAAAATATTCCCACCTGCTGCAGGTCTTTTTTTTTTTTTTACAAATGACTCTAATGCTCTGCCATGTCTGTGATGTCTATGTTCACAATTGACATTAAGCATGATGCTCTTGACCTCTCGCCTTGACACTGACATATTGTATCTTGCTGAAAGATAGGGGCTCAGATTTGGGTCAGTAAGAGTTTACGCCTGTGGTGATGTTCACAAATAAACAACTTTTGTAAACCCGTAAAATAAATCTGCATGAGAAACTCAAGTTTGTGCATGTGTAAAAAAGATTTGTATTTGAAAAAAAAGACTCTTGAATAAAAGATGATATCAGTGGTGAGGTTACACAAAGACACTGTGAAGAGAGAAGTGCTTCTGTGAACATTTGTGTACAGGTGCAAAGCAGAAAACTGCTTGTAAAACTTAAAGTTCCTACTCTACGTGTGACACTGAAGATATAAGTATGACTTTTGACTCTGACTGGACAGTGACAGTCCAATCATTAAGCAGAGTCCACTCAGAGGGTTCCGTTATCTTCATCTTCATCAGGTCCTGAAACCTGATACTGCATCATCGATACTTTCAAACTTTATGCGTTAAGACTGGAAACATTTTTGATTTACTGTGCCAAAAGTATTGCTGGCAGGGATTTCTTATCCACTCTGCTGCTCAACATTGCCTTATCTTTGGAGCTGCAGAGCTGCATTTACTTTCACTTAGCCATGAGACCAAGATCACATGGACAACAGTCAATAAGTCCCCAAAAAGAGAAGAGAACAGCATGTTTGAAGCTTGTACACTTTGATACCCAGTAAATTAGACACACAGAAGCAAACAGTCATGTTACTGACGAGTGTTGTGCTACAAAGTAATTTACTTCTTCCTTATTAGATGCAATGAGAACCTCCTGTTTTGTTCTGATACCTGCATAGCAACAGACTGAAACCACAGTTAGTGGTTCCAGGTACTAGAAGGGCGTGTCAAATAGCTCAGGCACAGCCTGATCTCATTGACATCACCCCACACCAATACCTGCATTTCCCTGGAGACTACAGTCCTCATACTTAGTGAGAAAGGGACTCTCATCTGATAGCGATAACACACAACATCAAAGATTTCTACTAAAAGAAAACTAAAAGAAAAGACTGTTATTAAAAGAAATCCCAGACAGGGATTTTTGAAACACTGATGTGATTAGTCTAGATACCTCCAGGGTACCACTAAAGGATTTTGGTCTAAAAGTATCATATTTAAATATGTTGAGTCTAAGGATAGAGGAATCAGTCTATACAATACCAGCTATTTCTCAGTTTCTTTATGGGCATGAGCTGCTGCTTTTAGTGAAATGTTTTCACAACTATTGATTGAGTGTCTTATAATTTGAAACATAAAAATGGTGGCCAGTGACTGAATCTTAATGGCTTTAATGATCTCTTGACTTTTCTGTATCAAGCAGCAGGTCAAAGTTGTCACTCTACATTTCAGTTTTAAACTAACAAATGTATTTCCTGCAGCAGTTTACAAAGAAACTGGGTCTCATGACAGCAACCCAAACTCTTATAATCCTAGACAAATTTTCAGTGGTGGAAAGTAACTTCAGTACCTTTACTCAAGTACTGTCTGTCATGGTTTGCCATGACAGACACTTTTTGTTAGTTTGTTTGGATTTTGTTACTTCCTGTTTTATTTTGTAGTTGGTTTCCTTGTGTGTCTCAATGTTACTTCCTGTCTTGGTCCTGTCTCTGTTTGGTGATTGTCTGCCCTGCTCTAATGTGTTTCACCTGTGTTCAATCACCTTTGCCTCCCTTGTGTCTATATAGTCTTTGTGCTCCCCTTTGTCTGTGTTGGTTCATCTGTTCATGTCTGGTATGTCTTCGGTCTGTTCATGTTGCCTGTTCATGTCGGCTGTGGTATCCCCTGTGTCGCCGGTTGTTGTTCCTTGTGTGCCCTCGTGCTTCGGTTTCCTGTTCTGCTGGCTCACCAGTAAGTTCTTCTGTTAATAAACATTTTTTGCACCTCATTCCCCTGTGTTGGCTGCATTTGGGTCCAGCCTTACCCGCACCATGACACTGTGCTTAAGTACAACTTTGATGTAGTTGAACTTTAATCAAGTATTT